GAGAAAAAGAGGCCGTGTTTTTTTTTGGCCAGTAGCAGGAATGTCGGGAATGACAAGAAAACCAACGAAATTGTTTGAGTCTTTGTCCCTTCGAGTCTTGAAAAGAAAATTGGATAGAAGTCCAGTGGCAATAAATACGTTATTGTTGTTTAGTGCCGTGGAGTCAGACCGACTCATAGCGACGCCTCCTTGAGTTTCCGAGGCAGTATCACCACGGAAGTAGATTGCCCCATCTTCCTTCCGAGGAGTGAATTAATACATGGCACGGATCAAGTTGAATACATGGCATGGATTACGTTGCTTTCCGCAAACTCAGCAAAAAAATATGGCAGCCTCCCGTAAATACTGTATTAAAAGGTAATTTGAAAACAGACAAGTCGGAATGCAAGACTCTGTGCAGGAGAGATGCTCCTGGAAGGAGGAATGATAAAGGTCGGGAACGGGCAACTAAGAATAGCCTGGGCCTGAAAAAAGCTGTCAGGAAGCACCCTTGTTGTTGGGTGCGTGGAGTTGGTTTCCACTTACCAGGATCCTATGCAGGACAGAACGGAACACTACCAGGCTCTGTGCCAACCTCACAATCTCTGCGGTGCTTGAGCCCCTTACTGCAGCCACTGTTGCCCCTTCATCTCGTTGAGGGTCTTCCTCTTTTTTGCTGCACACCTACTTTACAATGCATGATGTCCTTTTCCAGGGACTTGTCCCCCCTTAGGGGCTCTGGTAGCACAGTACCTAAGACATTTGACTGCTAACCAGGAGGCTGGTGGTTCAAACACACCAGCCACTCCTCGGAAGGAAGATCAGGCAATCTACTACCGTAGTGATACCGCCTCTTAAACCCAGGGAGCAGTTTCTGTAAGTTAGATCTGACTCCTTGGACTCGTTGGCAGTGAGTTTGGTTTGGTTTTGGTTTTGGTCCCCCATGATAACATATCCAAATTATGAGAGATGAAGTCTGGCCATTTTTGCCTCTAAGAAGCATTCCGGCTGTACTTCTTCCACGACAGATTTGTTCTTTCTTCTGGCAGCCCATGGTATATTCAATATTCTTCGCCAACCGCACAATTCAAATGCATCAATTCTTCTGTTGCCTTCCTTACTCATCTTCCAGCACTTACATATGAAGCTACTGAAAACACCATGGCTAAGGTCAGGTGCATCTTAGTCTTCAAAGTGATATCTTTGCTCTTTAACACTTTCAAGAGGTCTTTTGCAATAGATTTGCCCAA